GGTAGTTCCGCTCTATTCTGCTATGGTCAGGCCTTACTTGGAGTACTGTATCCAGTTTTGGGCACCACATTTTAGGAAGGATGTTGACAAACTCGAGCGTGTCCAGAAGAGGGCAACCAGGATGGTGAGAAGGTTAGAATCCAAGTCTTACGAGGAAAGGCTGAAAGAGTTTATATTTATTTATTTATTTTGGGATTTATATCCCGCTTTACCCAAACGGCCCAGGGTGGCTAACAGGCAGCTATGCCGGATTAAGAAATAAAATACAATAAAACATTATTACATGCATAGTAAAAATTGGTGCTCTAAAATTCTCTAAGACTCCCCAAGATGTGCGACAACCCGCATTGGCGGCCTGCGTTATTAATGGCATGAGCGCCAGGAATGGTATTTTTCCCATCTCCGCCGGGCGGCATCTACCCTCCTCCCAATAATAGGGGTAGATGATAGGATTGTATCACGGTGGTGGAATAGTGGCGGCGGTGGCTCCTACTCAAAAGCCTGGCAGAAGAGCTCCGTCTTGCAGGCCCTGCGGAACTGCACAAGGTCCCGCAGGGCCTGGATCTCCCCCGGGAGCTCATTCCACCAGGTAGGAGCCGCCACCGAAAACGCCCTGGCTTTAGTTCGGGCAAACTTGATGTCTCGGGGGCCTGGAACTTCCAGGAGGTGGAGACTCCCCAATCGCAGTGCTCTTGAGGGAACATACAGGAAGAGGTGGTCCCTTAGGTAAGCTGGAGTTGGGTATGTTTAGCCTGGGAAAGAGAAGGCTTAGAGGGGACATGATTGCAGCCTTCAAATATTGGAAGGGCTGTCATGTAGAAGATGGAGCAGATCTATTCTCTCTTGCTCCGGATTGCAAGACTAGACCTAATGGGTGGAAATCACAAGGGAGTCGTTACCAGCTAAATATCAGGAGGAACTTCCTAACTGTAAGAGTGGTTGAGCAGTGGAACAGACTGCCTCGGGAGGCGGTGGATGCTCCTTCGCTGGACGTTTTCAAGCGGAGGCTGGACGACCATCTTTCGGGTATGTTGTAGGGCTATCTTTCGGCTGTGCTCCTGCAGAGTGCAGGGGGTTGGACTAGATGACCTGCAAGGTCCCTTCCAACTCTAACATTCTATGATTCTATGGCCCTGTCCAACTCTGTGATTCTAGGATTCTATGACTGTATTGGTGGTCTTGCTCCAGGGGCTTGGAAACAATAACACGGCCCAGTGTTTGCAGGTGGTCTGTCTTTGGTCTGAATTGCTGTGAGGAGCTTTGTACACAAAACGTGCTGCATCTTGGAACAGGTGGCTTCTTCGAGAAAAGAGGCCCCAGGATCAGAGGGAAGAATGAATTCCTGGGAGTGTCTCTTTCACGCACCTGTTAGGCAGGTTTCAAGGAATGCCCAGTGTCTAAGTTAGGTCTAAGCTTGTTTGGACTGGAAGACTGGAGTTACTATACCGGGAAGGATTCAGTTACAGTCATAGAGTCATAGAATCATAGGCTGCGATCTGATGTCGTTACTGTCCCTTTCCAGATTTAAAATGCACGATCAGACAGCATCGTCTGCAGGGCTATTTTTGGGCAGGAACGCACAGGAACGGAGTTCCGGCTGGCTCCCAAGTTGGCCACACCCAGCATGAACTCATTAGCATAATAGGCCACACCCAACAGCAGACACTCATTAGGATTGGCTACATTAGGGGTGTGTGGCCTAACATGCAAAGGAGTTCCTGCTCCAAAAAAAGCCCTGGGTTTTGAAAACAAACAAGGTTAACAGAATAAAAAGCAAAAGGTGGCTGTGGCTGGATAACCATACTTCTGGTAATGTGGGGTGTGGCCTAATATGCTAATGAGCTATGCTGTCAGGGGTGTGGCTGGATATGCTAATGAGTTTCTGCTTTTGGGTGTGGCCTATTATGCTAATGAATTCGCTTTTTCTACAAAAAAGCCCTGATTGTCTGTATCCCGTCCCCCAGTTGTCGGCCTCTCATTCTCACCCGTCCTGAGGTTTATGGATTGTCTGGTTTTACCCTGTATTTCCAGATGTCCAAACTCTCCATTATGGTCTCAAGCTGGAAGGGAAGTCTGAACCTTCCATTCCATTTTCGCTCTATAAAAAAAAATCATACAGAATACGCATAAGAAGATCTCCAGGGTAGGGTCATGAGGCTCTGCTTGTGCGTTTATGTGCTGCAATGTTTTGTTGGGATCGGGAGCCCCCGGAGGGGTTGTTTTTGAGTGACAAATTCAAGAAAAAAAGCCCCTTTCTGTTGTTTCTTGGGGTGGGACGGCAGTGAAAATAATCCCTATCTAGGCTCCCATATTCGTGGCCAGGATTCTGGCCCTGGAACTTTCCTCCAAGGCACTTCATAATATTGCTCTGGTGGGAAAACTCTATGGGGAGAGAAAAAGGGGAAACTTCCCTATGAAATGAATGGGAAAGGGAGTAAGATCGGGCAGGAAAAGGAGTGATTTCTGGCGGAGGAATACAGTTGTATAGGAACCAATGATCACAGCCCTTGGTGGAAGGATCGCGGAGCTGTCAGGAAGGAGCGATGCTTCAAATAAGCACTTCTGCGCATGCCCAGAAAACAAATTTTAAAAAGGATGCTGCCTGAGCACCCGCTCTGTGGTTACCACTCAGCAGTAATCTGAATGGTCAACCACGGGGTGAGCGCACAGTGAGGCGGGATAAGGGTAGTGTGTTTGGACAAAACTCTCCAGAACAAATAACACCAGATAAATTAGAGGCGTGGCCAGACTGCGCTAAGCCTGACATCTGACCACAGCCATGGAGTTGGAAGGGGCACTACAGGCTATCTAGGCCAACCTCCTGCTCAATGCAGGATCAGCCTAGAGCCTCTCTGATGAGTGTTTGTCCAGACACTGCTTAAAGACTGGGGGTGAGGAGGAGCTCACCACCTCCCTCAGCAGTTGATTCCACTGTTGCACAACTCTCCCTGTCAAAACGTTTCTCCTAATATCCAGCTGGAACCTTCCCACCCTTAATTTAAACCCCTTCTTGCGAGTCCTGTCCTCTGCTGCCAACAGGAACAGCTCCCTGCCCTCCTCTAAGCGACAGCCCTTCCAATACTTCAAGAGAGTCATTCTGTCCCCCCCTCGACCTCCTCTTCTCCTAACTGAACATTCCCAAGTCCCTCAGCCTTTCCTCATTGGGCTTGGTCTCCAGGCCCCTGATCGTCTTTGTCGTTCACTTCTGCACTTGCTTCATTCAAGGAGCTGTTCCTGTTGGCAGCAGAGGGCAGGGCTCAAAATAATGGGTTTAAATTAAGGGCGGGAAGGGACCGGCTGTAATTTAAGGAAAACTTTTCGACAGTCAGAGTTGTGCAAGAGTGGAATCAGCTGTCTAGGGAGGTGGCGAACTCTCCCTCCCTGGCAGTCTTTAAGGAGCGGCTGGACAGACACTTGTCGGGGATGCTCTAGGCTGATCCTGCATTGAGCAGGGGGTTGGACTAGATGGCCTCTATGGCCCCTTCCGACTCTGTGATTCCGTGAAAGTGAGCTGTACCTGAAGAAGTAAATGGTGACTCACGAAAGCTCCTCCCCTGCCACCAATTTGGCTAGTCTTCAAGGTGCTGCTGGACTCTTGCTCTTTTCTCCTGCTACAGACAGCCTCACGCGGCTACCTGTCTTGATCTATAAACTGACCTGATGACACTCAGCACACAGAAATACTGAAGGCATGAACCTCATTCCTTAATGTAAAATTGCCTTTTGTTTTTCACGTTCTCCAGAATGATAACAGCACAGGAGCCTTGTTTGGTGTAGTCGTTAAGTGCGTGGACTCTAATCTGGGAGAACCGGGTTTGATTCCTCACTCCTCCACTTGCACCTGGCTGGATGACCTTGGGCAAGCCGTAGTTCTGATAAGAGCTGTTCTTGAAAAAGAGCACTTTCCGTCAAGAGCTTTCTCAGCCCCACCTACCTCACAGGCAGCATTCCCTCTAAGCTGAGTTAGTGTGAGCGAGCTCACAGGTTTTTTAGCCTCTAGCTCACACATTTTTGTCTTAGCTCAGGAAGGAGGGCTCCAGAGCAAACTAATTTATGCAGCAGCCCAATCGCTCGCTCACAACTTTAATGCCAGTAGCTCACAAAGTAGAATTTTTGCTCACAAGACTCCACAGCTTAGAGGGAGCATTGCTCACAGGGTGTCTGTTGTGGGGAGGGGAAGGGAAAGTGCTCTGAGACTTCGTTGGGTAGTGAAGGTGGGGATATAAATCCAATATCTTCTTCTTCTTCTTTTTTAAATTTTTAAATTAATTTTCAAATTCAAATAAACACAAAACATAAATACAGTAACAAGTGTTATACAAGCAAACTCTTCACAACATCTCAGAAATACAAATTAGTGAAATAACAGTAAAGGCCACAAATCAAATCCCTTTATAGACATGACTCTTTAGCTTCCTATACAAAAGTAATGATGTCACGATATATATTGCGCTTAGTAGGCAGTAGTTGAGGGGAGTTTCCGATAACGTATTCCGTAAAAGGAAGCCAATTTTGTTAAAGCATCAGAGGTTGAATTATTGCCTTCAAAAGACCTAATGGAATCTGCAATCTTATCCATTGCTAACAATTCCCAAATCTTTGTAAACCACCTTGTGGTTGATATGGGAGAAGGGTCTTTCCAGCTCGCAGCTATAATCATCTTGGCTGCTAGGAGCAACATCGAAATCAATTCTCTATACATCCAAGGGATGTTCCAGTTTCTACAAAGGTCTAACAAAATTAACTCAGGAGAATTCTTCTTCTTCTTCTTCTTCTTCTTCTTCTTCTTCTTCTTCTTATTCTTCTTCTTCTTCACAGGGTGTCTGTTGTGGGGAGGGGAAGGGAAAGGGATTGTAAACTGCTCTCCTTTGGGTAGGGAAGGGTGGGGTATAAATCCCTCCTCCTCCTCCTCCTCCTCCTGATCTCACGAGGCAGGCCTGGTATTGAGTCAACTAATAATGGAAGGACAAGCAAGGATCCCGCCCCTCCTCCTCCTCCTCCAGGAAACAAATGGAATTGGGTGAGGTTCAAACTGGTTGGGAGAGGAAGAGCCAGAGAAGGCTCGTAGCCCAAGAGTGGCGGCGCAGCACCCGGCTGGGGATGGCGCTTGTGGGTGCGGGCGGGATGCTAGGCAGCAGCTCGGCAGATGGGCGCCCACCCCCTTCTGGCTCAGATCGCCCCTCTCCTCCCCACAACAGCCGGGCTCCCCCTTCGGCACCTCTGGGTGAGTCGCTTTCCCCGCCTCTTGCCGATCGCTGCTTCTTTTAACCTTGAATCCTTTTATTTATTTTTTAAGCCAGGTGTGTGTTCTGTTAGGAGGGGGGTGAGGCTCGAGAGAAACCTGACGATTCTCATCTCCAGATGTGCCTGGGTGGATTATCGGGCAGCCTGGCCGAACCCTTGCCCAGATCTTTGGAAAGGGAACGCTTCAAGTTGCCAGCTCCGTGTTGGGAAATGCTTGGAGATTTGGGAGGTGGAGAACGGTGGGGGTGGACCTCAGAGGGGTATAATGACCCTCCAAAACAGCCATTTTCTCCAGGGGGACTGATCTATGGACCCCGGCTGTTGGTTGTAATTTTGGGAGATCTCCAGGCCCCCCTCCCTGAGCTTGGCAATCCTAGGGACATTGTTGGGCTTAGGGTTGCCAGACCTTTCCCAGTGGAGATGGGGGTCCCACACTGACAGGCCCCACCTCCCTGCCACCAATCAGCTGGCCAACAGGGGTGAACTGTCCCCAGAAAAGAGGGAAATCTATCCAACGTGCAGCGACGTGTCTGCGTCACTGTTCAAATGACCCGGAAGTGATGTCATCACATACGGGATGTTGTGGGGAGACACTCTGGTCTTTGGGCAAAAACTCTATGGTAGAAGCCAAATTTACCATAGAGTTTTTCCCCTGAATACCAGAGCATCACCTGGACATTCCGGACGTGATGATGTCTTTTCTGGGTCACGTGGGTAGAAGAAGAGGAAGAAGAAGAAGAAAAGAAGAGGAGGAGGAGGAGAAGATTGGATTCATACCCCATTCTTTACTACCCAGAGGAGTCTCTGAATAGCTTACGATCTCCTTTCCTTTCCCTTCCCCTGTGAGGTAGGTGGGGCTGAGAGAGCTCTTTTGAGAACCGCCCTTGAGAGAACAGCTCTGAAGGAACTTGTAACTGACCCAAGGTCACACCAGCAGCTGCATGTGGAGGAGTGGGGAATCAAACCCAGTTCTCCCAGATTGGAGTATGCGCTCCTAACCACTACACAAAACTTGCTCTCTGGGTAGTGATGTAGACATGACTCTGTACGTCAGATAGGGACTGGCGACCCTAGTAGAGCTAGATGAATCAAGAGCCTGACTCTCTGTATGTAGCCCATTTCCATGTGGATACGAAGTCTCAGGGGCGTCTAGAAGCAAGCAGGCTCTTTCCAGCAGACAGTACCTGTTATGTATTCTGTATACATAAATGTCAGAGCGTGAATCTCACCCCTATCTAAACATGGCATCCTAAATGGACAAACCTGATTGGTTACTCTGCGCAGTAGGACCAATAAGGATACAGGAAAGATTCCGGAGGGAGATAAAGACCTTGGTTCTTATGTTACTGTTCTGATTGGTTGACAATGCAACAGTGGGTGTGGTTACGCCGGCCCGGACAGTTTAAAAGAGAGCCTGTTGCTCTCCTGTTTTTTGTTCGTTAGTACCTCGTTAAATAAAGCTGATTCACTTGTTCAAGAGCTGCTGCAGTAAGTCTCATACTTAACAGTACCCTTGCTAGTCCAGCATCAGGTTTCTTCAGGGAACAGCTTGGAGCCAAAGGATGCTTCAGTCCCGGCCAGCTCCAGCTAAGCCTCTTGACCCTCTTCCCTCTGTTGGTATCCCAAATCAACCTCCCTACAAATAGTTTCTCAGACCCTCCTACTGGCTGACTGTGTCACCTCCCAATGGGCCTGTAGCCACAGTGGGGGGGGGATTTGGGGCAGAGCCCCACCACGGGCTCGCCCTGCCCCACCCTGGGAGGATTCCAGACCCCCCACCCCCATGCGCCTCTCCCCAGCAAGCAGTTGGGAGGCTGGGGAAGGAAAGGGAAGTCGCCCTGACACTTCTGGTCAGTTTCACTCCGGGACGAACAGCTGCTCGGAGGGGAGTGAACCTGTAATGTATTGAAATGATTACATGAATCACCTCATAGGACTCCCATGTTAAGCTTCGAGCCAGACCAGGGCTCCTCTGAGCGAACTTCCTATTGGTCGCTTCGTAACAGCGACCAATCAGAACGATACCATTCCCTAGGAGGGAAAGACTCCCATTGGTCTTTATTCTAGCAATCTCATTGGTTGTTATTTGTAAATAGGCGTGGCTACATTAGCCCGGTTATGTTTAAAAGGAGCATAAGCTCCCACTGTTTTCTGTCCTGGTTTCTTACTGAGTTAGTGCTTGTTCGTTACTTCAAATAAAGCTGAATCACTTGCTGAATCACTGTACGAGTCCTTTGTTAGCGCGATCTAACAATTGGCGACGAAGGTGGGATGTTAGAGCAGGTAGGCAGCCCTGCGGACATCCACACTTCGGACTCGGAAGAAAGCGGGCAGAGCACAGCAGCCGATCCGGCGGAGGCGCCACCAGCTCCGGTGCCCAAGTCTCCCCCGATGGCTGGAAGCCAGAAGTTCGAGTGCTTCGAACCCTCCTCAGAAGACTGGGACTCCTACCTGTCCAGGTTCGAGTTCCATCTGGAGACCCACGACATCACCGATGAGGCGAAGAAACGAGCATGCCTCCTGAGTTCCTGCGGGAAGGGGACCTTCGACATAGCCAGGTCGTTGGTGGCCCCAACTGATATAAAGACTGTCACCTACGCTGACATCACGGAGAAGCTTAAGGCTCACTATTCTCCACAACCGTCGGAGATCGCCTGCCGGCACGCTTTTTACAAGCGGAACCAGGCCGGAGGCGAGACCATCGCAGATTTCGTGGCGGCCCTTCGCAAAGCCGCACGGCCATGTAATTTCCACAACGTGGAGGAAGCCCTCAGAGACCGTCTCGTCTGCGGTCTCAAAGATGAAAGGCTGCAACAGAGGCTGTTCGCCCGCACCACCCTGACCTGGGCAGTGGCCTACGAAGAGGCCGTGGCCGCGGAAGCAGCGGAGAAGTCCACGAAGGAGGTCCGCCAGCGGGTGGCAGAGCCCAGTATACACGCTCAACGAGACAGCGAGGGCGAAGACGCGGATGATGACGTCAACGCGGTTCGAGGCAAGCGGACCCCAGCGAAGACTACCAACGTCAAGCCTTGCTCCGGTTGTGGCGGGAAACACCAGCGCGACTCCTGTTGGGCTCGTGATGTCGACTGCAGAGCGTGTGGACGGCGTGGTCATCTGGCCAGAGTCTGCAGATCAGCAAAGAAGGATCCCTCAACTAACAACCGGTCAGCGCAGAGGGGCACTCCAGTCAGCACCCAAGGCAAGACCCGTTCCTCAGCATCGGAAGCAAGCTGCCAGTTGACGGCGACCTTGTCGAGCGCATCGGCCGTAAATCGCACCAGCAGCCAGGGCAAGATCACCGTGACTCCACTCCTCGACGGCCGACCCTGTACAATGGAGGTGGACTCAGGATCGTCCGTGACGGTGATTTCTGCCGCGTCCTGGCGCCAGTTGTTCCCGAACCGAAGCCGGCGGCGGCTCCAGCCTGCGGGAACCAGAGTGTCCGACTTCCAGGGCAACCGAATTCCCTTGGCCGGACGGGACTCTGTTACTGTTGAGTATAAGGGGAAATGTGTTAAACTGTCATTCCTGATTGCAGAGGGAGACCGGGTTAACCTGCTAGGGTTAGATTGGTTTGAGCCATTGGGCATTGGTATTTCTGGGATTAACAGGATGTCTGAAAATAAATGGGGCATGCTGTACGACCTGTTCCCTGATGTATTTGCCGAAGGGTTGGGGAGGTACAAGGGCCCCCCGGTTGCGTTTGACTTAGATCCGTCAGTCAAACCTATTAGGTTGAAGTATCGGAAAGTACCTGTGTCTCTCAAACATAAGGTGGAAAAAGAGATTGACAAACTAGTTGAGCAAGGGGTTTTAGAGCCAGTACCATACAGCAAATGGGAGACCCCGATCGTAACCCCTGTCAAATCAGATGGGTCCATACGACTATGCGCCGATTACAAATGTACGATTAACAAGGCGCTGCAGCAACATTCGTACCCGGTCCCGGTAATAAGCCACATTTTGGCTTCCCTGGGGGGTGGCAAGATTTTCGCCAAATTTGACCTGGCCCAGGCATACCAGCAGTTGCCTGTCACCCCGGAGGCTGCCGAGGCCCAAACAATTGTAACCCACCAAGGGGCTTTTAAAGTGAACAGGCTGCAATTCGGGGTCAACGTAGCACCTGGGATTTTTCAGGGCCTCATGGAACGTCTACTAAGGGGGGTACCTGGCACAGTGCCCTATTTTGACGACGTGCTGATTGCGGGCGGGTCTGAACAGGAACTACTGGACCGGGTTAAAGAGGTCCTCAGGCGTTTTCAAAATGCCGGTCTCAGAGTTAAGCGCTCAAAATGCACGCTCGGGGTGGAAAGTGTGGACTTCCTGGGGTTTCGCATTGACGCAGAGGGAGTCCACCCCACGGATGAGAAGGTATCTGCAATCCAAAACGCCCCCAGGCCGGTGAGTAAGAAGGAGCTCCAATCCTTTTTAGGACTCCTGAATTTTTATCATGCGTTTTTACCGCATAAGGCATCAGTGGCGGCCCCTTTGCACGCGCTTTTGCACAAGGAGGCAAAATGGAAGTGGGGGCAGGCCGAGGAAAAGGCTTTTGTGGGAGTCAAGGAGCTGCTGACATCTAATGCCGTACTCACGCATTATGATGAACACAAGCTCCTGGTGTTAGCTGCTGACGCTTCACCTTTTGGAGTAGGCGCAGTTTTAAGCCATCTGATGCCTGATGGGAGCGAAGCGCCTATCGCTTTTTATTCTAGATCACTATCTGCGGCAGAGCGGAACTATGCCCAGATAGACAAGGAGGGTCTGGCGTTGGTAGCGGCTGTCAAAAAGTTCCATGATTTTATTTTTGGCAGACGATTTTTGCTGGTCACTGACCACAAGCCGCTACTGGGGATTTTTGCGCCCGATAAGCAATTGCCAAACATCATGTCCCCACGCATGCTTAGATGGGCGATATTTTTGCAGGCTTATGATTTTGACTTAGAGCACCGGCCTGGGAAAGCGATTGGGCATGCGGATGCCCTCAGCCGGTGCCCGGTGCCGGACATTGGCGCAGACCCTGCCCCCGCCTGTGAGGTCTTGGCAATTGAGGAGCTTCCTCGACCCCCGGTATCATCCAGGGACATTGCAGCACACACGGCCAAGGATAGCGTGCTGTCCCGAGTATTAAACTGGGTTTGGAGGGGGTGGCCGGTTGGAAGCGTTGAACCGGAGTTCGGCCCTTACAAAAGCCGTCAAAATGAACTATCCATTTCTAAGGGCTGTGTATTATGGGGGAACAGGGTGGTGGTTCCTGACAAACTCAGGACGAGAGTGTTAGAGTCGCTGCACGAGGGTCACCCCGGTATGGTACACACCAAAGCGTTGGCCAGAGGGTATGTCTGGTGGCCGGGGCTGGACAAAGAGATCGAAGAATGGGTACGAGGGTGTCCCAAATGCCAGCAAGTCAGACCCGATCCCCCACAAGCTACACCCCAAGGCTGGGAGTCATCTGGTAAACCCTGGGCCAGATTGCATATAGATTTTGCTGGCCCTCTCCAAGGGCAAATGTTCCTAATTGTGGTGGACGCTATGTCCAAATGGCTGGAGGTCGTGCATATGAAATCGACCACATCACTTGCTGTGATCCATGCGCTCCGCCGACTTTTTGCCACCCACGGGTTGCCTGACGTCATCGTCAGTGACAACGGGCCTCAATTTGTGTCTGAGGAATTTAGGCTCTTCCTCACGAGTAATGGCATACGCCAAATGACTTCGGCCCCTTTCCATCCGGCATCTAATGGCCAAGCCGAACGGATGGTCAGGACGGCCAAAGAGGCCCTGGGTAAAATGGACGAAGGGGACTGGAGCCAGAGGCTGGGCTCCTTTCTTTTGCTGCAGCACACCACCCCCTGTAGTGCTACAGGCCGTAGTCCGGCCGAATTGTTAATGGGGCGGAGACTCACGACCCGTTTGAACCGAATGCACCCAGACCTCACTGAAGAGCAATCCGAGCGTACCACGGCGCAACCGAAGGTGCGCATGTTTGAAAAAGGGGACAAGGTTTTCGCACGAAATTATGCAAACGGGCACTTATGGCTTCCTGGGGTTATATCCGACTCTGTGGGTACTCGAATGTATGTGGTGCAGTTAGCTGACGGTCGAATATGGCGGCGCCACATAGATCAGTTAAGGAGACGTTGGGCTAGGGACAGCGCTGACTCTCCGACGGCTGAATCCCCTGATGTCGAGTGGACACCCCCAGAGCAGGCGGTGAGTACCGAAAGGCCCGGTACTGTCCCCGAGTCAGGGCAGAACCCTGTGTGCGGGGCTGAAATCCCAGTCGAGTCTGTGCCTGATCCAGGCTGTAGTGAACCCCACTCTGACCCACAACCTTGTCTGCCCATGGAGCCTGCACCGCTCCGCAGGTCCCAGCGTTCGCGGCAAATGCCGACTTATCTGAAGGACTATGAGTGTAAATACTGTTGGAATAACTGATGTACAAAGGTTGATTGTATGTATGTAAATAATAAAACAATTGGGATGATGGCTTAACTTAGGGGGGAGGAATTGTAATGTATTGAAATGATTACATGAATCACCTCATAGGACTCCCATGTTAAGCTTCGAGCCAGACCAGGGCTCCTCTGAGCGAACTTCCTATTGGTCGCTTCGTAACAGCGACCAATCAGAACGATACCATTCCCTAGGAGGGAAAGACTCCCATTGGTCTTTATTCTAGCAATCTCATTGGTTGTTATTTGTAAATAGGCGTGGCTACATTAGCCCGGTTATGTTTAAAAGGAGCATAAGCTCCCACTGTTTTCTGTCCTGGTTTCTTACTGAGTTAGTGCTTGTTCGTTACTTCAAATAAAGCTGAATCACTTGCTGAATCACTGTACGAGTCCTTTGTTAGCGCGATCTAACAGAACCTGACCGGAAGCTGCCGGGTGGCTTCCCTTCTCTTCCCCAGCCTTCCTGCCGCTGTGGGTAAGGAAAAGAGGGCTACCCCCACCCCACAAGCTGTTGGGGGATCTACCCTGTTTCCCCAAAAATAAGACCTACCCCCAAAATAAGCCCGAGGAGGATTTCTATGCATTTGTGGTATAAGCCCTAGTGTGTCTTCTTGAGAAAAAATAAATATAAGACAGTGTCTTATTTTCAGGGAAACACGGTAATTAAGTTCCCTGCTCCCCGCCCCCCCTATAGCAGCACCTGGTCAACCCTGGAGGGGTGAAGCTAACTGGGCAGGCTCATTCTCCCTCCCTCCTTTGGGGCGGTGCCGTGGAAGAAGAGGGTGGGGCAGAGGCAAACTGGGGAAAGGCCCTTTTCCAGGGCTGGTTTTCCCCCTACTAGTTTGGTATAGAGTGGTTAGGAGCGCGGACTCTAATCTGGGAGAACCGGGTCTGGTTCCCCACTCCTCTACCTGCAGCTGCCGGTGTGACCTTGGGTCAGTCGCAAGTTCTCTCAGAGCTGTTCTCTCAGGAGCAGTCCTCAAAAGAGCTCTCTCAGCCCCACCTGCCTCACAGGGTTTCTGTTGTGCGGAGGGGAAGGGAAAGGTGATTGTAAGCCGCTCTGAGACTCCTTCGGGTAGTGAAGGGCGGGGTATAAATCCAATCTCTCCTCCTCCTCCTCTTCCTCTTCAGGGAAGAGTAAATTCCATGCACCCAGGAACATCGATGTTCTTTTTTCTTTTACCCCTGACAACTCATCAGGCCCACCAATGACATTTCTGTGTTTGGCCAAAAATCTGGATGTGGTCAGGAGAGCCAGTTTGGTGTAGTGGTTAGGAGCGCGGACTCTGATTTGGGAGAACCGGGTTTGATTCCCCACTTCTCCACTCACACCTGGCTGGATGACCTTGGGCAAGCCATTGTTCTGATAAGAGCTGTTCTTTAAAAAGAGCACTTTCCGTCAAGAGCTCTCTCAGCCTCACTTACCTGACAGGGTGTCTGTTGTGGGGAGGGGAAGGGAAAGGAGTTTGTAAGCCGCTCTGAGACACCTTTGGGTAGTGAAGGGCGGGGTGTAAATCCAATCTCTCCTCCTCTTCTTCCTCCTGCCTATTCCATGGAAAGTCCATTCTGAGTCAGGGGACAGACATTGAACTCCATGTGAGGACACTGAGGGTAGAGCCGTTGGATGTAGTCCTGCTCGGATGTAAGCAATTTTGAATAGATGCGCAGCCCTACAGGAACCGGGACATCAAAAACTCATAGCATTATTGAGAGCCAGTGTGGTGTACTAGTTAGAGTGTCAGACTAGGATTGAAGAGACCGGGGTTCGAATCTCTGCCATGAATCTCACTGGTGACCATGGGCCATCCTTGGCCGGGCCTAGCCTACCTCACAGGGTTATTGGGAGAATAAAATAGGGATGAGAGAACCATAGACTCCCATAGTTCCATGGAGGAAAAATTGGATAAACTGTGCTAGACGGACTATTACTGAATTGGTATCATCAATGGATTCAGAGCTCTTTTTATGGGGGAATGTGCCAGAACGGAGTTCCAGAAACAGAAGAGCCAGTTTGGTGTGAGAGCAAGTTTGGTGTAGTGGTTAAGTCCGCGCGCTCTAATCTGGGAGAACCGGGTTTGATTCCCCACTCCTCCACTTGCAGCTGTTGGATGCCGTTGGGGAAGCCACGGTTCTGTCAGAACTGTTCTTGAAAGAGCAGTTCTCTCAGAGTTCTCTCAGCCCCACCTACCTCACAGGGTGGCTTTTGTGGGGCGAGGAAGGGAAAGGAGTTTGTAAGCAGCTCTGATACTTGGAGTGAAGGGCGGGGTATAAATCCAATCTCCTCCTCCTCCTCCTCCTCCTCCTTTGACAAAATTCTTTTAAAATGTTTAAAAGGGCAGATGTACCCTTCATAACTGTGGAATGCTGAGAGTAATTAACTAAGACCCTGCTATCATACTCCATCTGTCTCCTCTCAAGCGTGCACTGTTGCCTTGTGAGGAGAAGATCATGGAATTCACAGCAGGTGGGTGAACAGAACCAAATGCATCTTCCACACTCGAGGGTCTAATCGTACTTCTTTCTTTCTTCTCAGAGCCCAAGATGGAGGCCCCCCTCGAGAAGGCCCTCGAAGTGATGGTAAACACCTTCCACAAATATTCGGGCAAGGACGGCGACAAGTATAAGCTCAGCAAGGCCGAGATGCGGGAACTACTTCTTCAGGAGATGCCTGCTTTTGTCCCGGTGAGGCAGTGTTGGGAGCAGTGGGGAGGTTGGGAGCAGTTGGGAGGTTGTGAGCAGTGTTCCCTCTAAGCTGCGTTAATGTGAGCTAGCTCACAGTTTTTCACCCTCCAGCTCACACATTTTTGTCTTCACTCAGGAAGGATGGCTCCAGTCCAGGGCAAACTAATTTATGCAGTAGCCAAATCACCTGCCTGCTCACAACTTTAATGCTGATAGCTCACAAAATTGAATTTTTGCTCACAGGACTCCACAGCTTAGAGGGAACATTGGTTGGGAGATCTCTTTTCGGGGAGGAAAGATCAGAGAAGCCCCGAAGTAGGAATCAGTGACGTTCCCTATTTGTGTTTTTGTTAATATTCTCCGTATTTTGCTGTTTGTTTTGTAGATTTGGAAGTTGTAGAGTTTTAACTTGGAACTTGTAGAGAGAGACAATTTGGTGTAGTGGTTAAGTGCGCCAACTCTAATATGGGAGAACCAGGTTTGATTCCCTGCACCTCCACTTGCAGCTGCTGGATGACCTTGGGCAAGCCATAGTTCTCTCAGAGCTGTTCTCTCAAGAGCGGGCTTTGCAAATACATGGATATCAGCAGCAAGGACAAGTATGAGTTTTTTGCAGTTACATGAAATGTCTGTGTCATGACCCCTATTGGGTTGCCACCTTCCTCTGCCACCACTATGGACTTAGGGTCCCTTGGGAAGGCCCAGAGGACCCTCCCAAGCCTATTCAAAATGCCCCTTTTAAGCCGAGAAATATAGGCGTGATGACCAGGCAGAGGACATTAAACAAATGGTTTATTAATACAGTAATGGAGCAAGGAAAACAAGACAAGGTGCTTAAAATATATAACAGTGTCTAAAGGCAAAATAAACAAATCTAACATGGCTACCTGTTTCCCTTAACTGGTTACTATTCAAGGCCCGTAGACTTTTATACCAGGCCTGTGCCTGTACTCACTCTGTCCCAAGTGAGGGATCTATCCAGGGGTCATTTTGTAGAAAAAGAGCTAGGGGAACTCATTAGCAAAACTCATTAGCATATGCCACACCCCCTGACATCAGGGGCCCGGCGGTGGACCTGCAAGGCCAGCGGGAGTGTGAGGAAGCCCCGCCAAGGCCCTCCCTGGCCCCAGGCAGGCAGGGGTGGGGAGAAGCGGGGAGGAAGCAACTTACCCTCCCTCTTCTCCTGCCTCCTCCTGGCTGAATGAGGGCCGGAAGCGGGGCGGCCGGAAGTGGGGGGCGGGGCTTCATCATGTGCCCCCCCTGCACCTCACCTGCGGGAACTGCGTTCCCCCGCGATCCCCCCCGAAATGACCTCTGGATCTATCTCTCAGACCAGACTGTCCCCCCAGTTTAACTCTGCGAGAGAGAAAAATGCAGTAGATAAAAGAACCCAGTTCCACAGCCCACAAAGCTTAAGTCACAATCTCCTCATGCAATCGCTGGACACTGATTGGTTACAACCATTGCTAAGCATTGTGGGGATTGTAGGCTGTCTGCTTTCCACTCCCACACAGGTCTCCTGGGCCTGGGCCGCACTAGGCCTTGCCTCCCAGTCCGACACAGATCATGACACTTGCCCTGACGTGGATAGTCCAGGCTAGCCCGATCTAGTCAGATCTCAGAAACTAAGCAGGGGCAGCTCTAGTTAGTATTTGGATGGGAGACCACCAAGGAAGACCAGGATTGCTCCACAGAGACAGGCAATGGCAAGCCACCTCTGTTCATCTCTTGCCTTGAAAAGCCCACAGGATTGCCATAAGCCAGCTGCAACTTGACGGCACTTTCCGTCACCACCATATGGTCTTAATATGTTCAGTGTCTGTCACTGATATGTTTAAAATGTTGTGGTTTGTGGGAAAAATTCAGTGCCAGGAGCAGAAAATGATGCAAAAATTAAGAACCGCAGGCTCGACTCGTACAATGGAGAAACACAATGAGGATTTATTATTTTTTTAAAGGTCGGAACTGTGGGAATGAGGAATTTGAGATCGTATCTGCTTCTTGGCATAATCTGTTTGTATTCCATGACTTGCGGTCTTGTTTCAGAATCTAATGAGAGCAGCTTTGCATGATCAGACCACTTCGCCCTGTCCAGATTCCTATGTGCTTGGTGGTTTCCTAGAAACTGCCCACCTTCACTCAAACCTGGAAGACACCAGTTTTGTGGGTTTTCAGGCTGAACCCAAAAAGTGGCGGGAGCGTTGGAGAGTGGGAAAGATGGCATGTGTGAGATGTCTGAGGCTTCTGGGAAAAACTCGGATTTGCCATAGAGTTTCTGACGTTTCCTAGAGCTACCATATGTCACTGCTGGATTTTCCCCAGGAAATAATAATAATAATAAAAAAACCTCCTCGGCTTCTGCTGCAGGTGGGGGTGGGGGTGGGTGGGCAAAGGGAGCTGTCGGTGAGAGGTCTCCAATCATAGCAGGTAGGGTTGCCAGGTCCCGCCTGGTAACCGGCGGGGGATTGAGAGGAGACTTACCGGGAGCAAGAGAGAGGCTCTTCTGATGTGCAGCAGCGTGCCCAGGGCTATTTTGGGGCAGGAGCGCACAGGAACAGAGTTCCGGCTGGCTTCAGAGTTGGCCACGCCCACTACAGCCAAAACCTCTGTGTGCCTGGCTACACAGGGATGGCCTGGAGAGCGACCCCCCCCCCCGGCAACTCCAAGACGGGTGTCTTCTCGTCCCTTCCGTGGCCTGTCCAAGGGCAATATAAACTGCCTTCCCTTCCAGGGCTGGCTTGCCTGGGTGCCCCGCAGCTACAGGGCATCTGGGCAAGCCAAGAGAAGGCATGGGATGCTAATGAGCTATGCTGTCAGGGGTGTGGCCTAATATGCTAATGAGTTTCTGCTGTTGGGTGTGGCCTAAAATGCTAATGAGTTCCTGCTGGGCTTTTTCTACAAAAAAAGCCCTGAGCGTGCCTACGTCAGTGCTCCCGTGACTCGGAAGAGACACCATCACTTCTGGGATGTTGGGGCGATGCTTGAGTATTTGGGCAAAAAATCGGTGACAAATTTGGCTTCGGCTATAGAGTTTCTGCTCAAATACCAGAGTGTCACCCTGAAATCCCAGGAGTGATGATGTTACTTCCAGGTCATGTGGGCAGCTGTGTGGTTACGTTGCTTTGGCTCGGCAGAGCCTCCCTCTTTTTCGGGGCAAGTTCCTCCCGCTGGCCAGGTGATTGGTGGCTGGACGGTGGGGGTCTGTCAGTGGGGGACCCCCACCTGATTATTGGAAGAGAGAACTCCATGTTATATTTTGGTGCCTAAACCTTCTGATTTCATAGTTGGGACATTTTTGGAGACAATTCTTCTGATGAAAGGAATTCAGAAACAGGATTTAAAGATCACCGGGAACCTGTAGAGAATGCTCTCAGCTGATAAAGAGGACTGTTTCAGCAGATGGAAGAAATCCCATCGCAGGGCAACAAACTTAAATAGAATCATCTCAGTTGACATACATCTGTGTACAGAGAACAGGTTTTGAAAACGTCTCGACGGATATAATCCTGGAGATTTTTAATTATATCATATCATATCATATCATATTATATTTATATTTGAATTTATATCCCACCCTACCCCGAAGGCTCAGGGCGGCTCACAAGGGCACCATGTGCCAGTTAAAACAGTAATACATAATTAAAAACAATAAATTACAATAAAACACAATAAAACATTTCATAAACTATTAGGCCAAGATGGATAGCTCTCACTTCCACAATTACTTTCTCAGGTCTTATCATCTAAAACCGTGCCCAGGCGCCTCGCTCCCCCATTGGGGGCCAGGCAGTCATGATGTTCATACGCAGTGCATAGGGGACAAAGATGGAATAATGGTGGTGGCGGCTCCTACTCAACCTATTAGTGTTACCAACAATTAGAGACTGTGTTATCTTTTGTTTGGTTAGCAGTGGAGGTACATGCTTCTTATTGTGATATTGTGGATTATATGCAATGACTATTTGATATATTATTCTTATGAATATTTTTTGCATCGTTTTAGCCGTTTTCATAGTGATTCTTTGATGTACCCACCAGGGGGTCTGGCAACCCTAATAGCAGGAGATCTGGCAGCTCTACCAGTTTCCCCTTGACACTGGGAATTCTAGCTACATTTGAGACTGCCACCACTGTGTTGTCATTCTTAAATCATCTGAACATTCCGTGCCTTGATCCCAAGCAGTCCAACACCGCAATGCAACCGATAGGCTGAGGTGTTATTGAGCTCTACTCTGCCTCCTTCTTTCCTGTAGGGGAAGATCCATGAACCTGGTTTCGAATACATGATGAAGAAACTAGACAGCAACAAAGACGAGGAGCTCGATTTCCAGGAATACGCCGTCTTCTTAGCTCTCGCTGCTTCTCTCTGTAACGAGTTCTTCCGGGAGTGTGCTGACGAGAGCAACCGGAAGAGATGAGGGTGACGTTTCCAACGGGTGGGGCCTCTTTGGCGTTAAACCCTCTGAATCGGCCCAGCCTGGGGGCAATGATGTACAGTAATAAAGATGAGTGAAAGAAGGTTATGCCTGCGCTAATGGTACTGAAAGGAGATCTTCGTTCTCAGCTAAGCCTGGGTGGGCGATTTCTGTTCGGGATCTGTGACATTCACACCTGCTGGGTCTAGGGTGAGCAACCTCCAGGTGGGGCTTGGGAATCTCTTGGAATTGCAACAGATCTCTGGACTAATGAGATCAGTTCCTCTGGGGAAAATGGCTGCTTTGGAGGGTGGATTTTCTGGCATTATACCACACTGAGGTCCCTCCCCTCCCCAAACCCCGCCCTCCCTGGACTCCAGGCTCAAAATCTCCAATAATTTTCCAGTGCACAGTTAGCAACCATAGCTGTGTCCCTGATCTCCATACCTTCACATTTGCTAAACCCTCAAGTTTCTCTGCTCCTTTTTAGGTCTTCCCAGTTTGTTCTGACACCCGCCTTGTGACTCAATTGAAAAGCCTTAGGTAGGCCCAATTTAGGGTTGCCAGACCCCCCGGTCCAGGTTTCCCCAATTTCTGGGGCTTCAGCCCACCGCTAGCCAACTGGCTGGTAGGGAAGGCCCCACCCCCAAACAGGCATGTCATGTGTTGACGTCACATGGAAGTGATGTCATCACACCAGGGGCACTCTAGCATTTTGGCTAAAACTCTATGGTAACCATAGAGTTTTGCTCAAAAAGCTAGAGTGTCACCACGTGACATCCCCGGCATGATGATGTCACTTCTGTGTGATGTCATCACATGACGTTGCCCCACCCCCTCCCGGAAGCCTCCCTCTCACCACCCCCCGCCAACAGAATAATTGGACCTGGCAACCCTAGCCCAACTACTTATATTTGTCTAGAAAGATACTCTTTTGTGTTTGTGAAGTCAGGTAGGGTTGCCCATCTCCAGGTGGCACCTGGAGATCTCCCGCTATTGCAATCTGTTTCCCTGGAGAAAACGGCTGCTTTGGAGGGTTGACTCTATGCCACTATACCCTGCCGAGGTCCCTCCCCTTCCCAAATGCACCATGCCTAGGCTCTACCCCTAAAATCTCCAGTTATTTCTCAACTCAGAGTTGGCAGCCCAGTGGTGGTTCCCCACAGCCTATGGACCCCAACCAGGTGCACCTGCCAACACCTTTCCGGGCACTTGCCAAATGCTTTCAGAAAGTGGGAGGGGCCAGTAAAGGCTTTTGCCCACCAAGGCTTCTGATTGGCCACTGGAGATTTGGTTGGCCATGCAGTTTTTTAAAAAATGTTACTTCGGCGGCTGCCGCCACCACAGCACGAGGTTCTTCAACGTGTGACAGAAGGTAATCCACGGTAGCCATTTAGAGGCTGGCTCCACCACCTGCAACGTTGCTCCACTTTTTAGTCTACTTTTATCCCTGGGAGTCAAAAACAGATTGTAATCTACCCCCCCCCCCCAATGCAACGTAATAAGAACATACAGCAATCATAACCAGAGGACACTTAAAACATAGAATCATAGAACTGGAAGGGACCTCCAGGGTCATCTAGTCCAACCCCCTGCACAATGCAGGAAACATATCCAACCTGTGCTGAAAGGACTGCACCGGCTGCCTATAGCAGGGGTGGCCAAACTTGCCTAAGGTAAGAGCCACATAGAATAAACGTCAGATGTTTGAGAGTCGCAAGACATGAACCAATATCACACACACATGTTTACTGAAAAATATGCAAATTTGTTTTTATTAACATTAAACGAGACTGCCAAAAATAAAAACAAAAGGGGTAAAAACAGATATTAATAATGATATCTATTTGTCCAATGATATTTATTTGTCACAGAGAGCGAGAGAGACAGAGAGGTGGAAAGAAAGAATGAAAGGTGGAAAGACAGAGAGAAACAAAGGAAGCAGATAGATGAGGGAGGGAGGAAGGGGAAAGAGAGACAGAAAGAAAGGGAGAAAGAGAGAAAGAAAAGGGAAAAGAAAGAGTGGATAGAAAGCAAATAGATGGGGGAGGGAGGAAGGGAAAAAAGAGAAAGGTGTAAAGAAAACAAATAAATGGGGATGCAGGGAAGAAGAGAGAGGTGGAAAGAAAGCAATTTTAAGTTTAAATGCATTCTTCCACACCATCCCCCCATGCCTGCTGGCTTGGCTTGGAGAAAAAAACACCTTGTCCTGCCAGTCGACGGGGGGGCCGGGGGGGGGGGGGAGAATTTGAGAACACATTTAAAGTTGCTTCCTATCTCTGCCTCCCCCCTACCTCAAGCCTATGCAGGAAGGGGAACACTGGCTGGGGAAGGGAAGACCAATTGGGGCAGCATGCTTCCCCTTTGCTTCCCCAGCCGCCCTGCCGGGAACCACACAATATGTGTGAAAGAGCCACATGCGGCTCCTGAGCTACAGTTTGGCCACCCCTGGCCGATAGCATACCGGATTCACTTCAAGGTGCTGGTTCTTACCTATAAAGCCTTATATGTTCAGAGGCCAGGATACCTGATGGATCGCCTTTCCCCACATGTTCCCCAGAGAGAACTGCACTCAGGAACACAAAATATCCTGGATCTCCCTGGCCCTAAAGATGCCAGACTAGCTTCAACTAGAAGAGAAGAAGAGAAGAGATTGGATTTATACCCCACCCTTCACTACCCAAAGGTGTCTCAGAGCGGCTTACAAACTCCTCTCCCTTCCCCTCCCCACAACAGACACGTTGAGAGAGAGAGCTCTGACAGAAACTGCTCTTTTTCAAGAACAGCTCTTATCAGAACTATGGCTTGCCCAAGGTCATCCAGCCAGGGGCAAGTGGAGGAGTGGGGAATCAAACCCGGTTCTCCCAGATTAGAGTCCACGCACTTAACCACTACACCAGACTGGCTCTCTAGGGCCAGGGCTTTTTCTGTGGCACCTCCACGGTGGCGGAGTGAGCTCCCTGAGAATATCAGGGCCCTGTGGAACTCATTACAGCTCCGCAGGGCCTGCAAGACAGAGCTCTTCCACCAGGCGTTTGATTGAGCTGCCATATTTCATAACCATTATAACATCCGAGCCTTGCTCGGGAAGATACCCAATGTTGGGGCCAGATAGTGGTCTGTAACCATTCTGTCCAGACACCTGTATGGTTAATGTTCTAAAAACGGTGTTCCGTCATCCAGTTTGTAATGTTTGTGTAGAATTTTTAAATTGCTTTTAGGATTTTAATTTGCTTTGGAAATTTGTAATGTAGGCCGCCCTGAGGCTGCCTTGGCGGGGAAGGCGGGGTATACATTCAATAAATCAGTAAATAAATAAACTCACAAATATCCCCCCATACCTCCAGTGGCCCCTTTTCTATGCCCTGGAGTAAAATGGCTTCCTGACCCCAAAGTGGCTATCGGCATTTCCCTGGGCATGTAAGAAAGGGCCACGAGAACTAAGCCCGGAAGCGACCCTTCCTGCCCTCTCTCTTGTGATCTGCCTAAGTTCACAGAATACACATTGCTGTCAGATGGCCATCGAGCCTCTGCTTGAAAACCTCCAAAGGAGGAGAGTCCACCACCTCCCGAGGAAGCCTGTTCCACTGAGGAACCGCTCAAACTGTCAGGAAGTTCTTCCTGATCTTTAGCTGAAAACTCCTTTGATTTAACTGCAACCTGTTGGTTCTGGTCTGACCTTCTGGGGCAACAGAAAACAACTCCGCACCATCCTCTATGTGACAGCCCTTCAAGTAGATTCAGGTGGGTAGCTGTGTTAGTCTGAAGCAGGAGAACAAATTTCGAGTCCAGTGGCACCTTTAAGACCACTGGACGGGTTAGAACAGATAAAAGGAAGTCCTTCTTCACCCGAAGAGTGATTTACACATGGAATTCACTTCCACAGGAGGTGGCGATGGCTACAAGCATGGACGGCTTCAAGAGGAAATTGGATAAGCATATGGAGCAGAGGTCCATCAGTGGCTATGAGCCACAAGGTATAGGTAGGAACTCTCAGTCTGGGGCAAGTGATGCTCTGTATTCTTGGTGCTTGGGGGGGGGCAACAGTGGGAGGGCTTCTAGTGTCCTGGCCCCACTACTGGACCTCCTGATGACACCTGGTATTTTTGGCCACTGTGTAACACAGAGTGTTGGACTGGATGGGCCATTGGCCTGATCCAACATTGGCTTCTCTTATGTTCTTATGTTCTTACCAACAAACTTTTATTCAAGGAATAAACTTTTGTGTGCACCTTTTGTGTGTATCTGAAGACGGTGTGCGGGCACACAAAACGTCATCAGTCTTAAAGATGCCACTGCACTTAAGACGCAGTATAATACAGGCAGTGAAGCAGGAATTACAAGACTGGAGAACAATGCAATGAAACATATCGCATACAATTAGCAAGGCAATGAAGCTGGATTCCAAAATTGAGGAAGAACTCAATCAACGTAGCACAATATGTACAATGAAGATTGCCTTTAATTCCCTAGATGTTAATGACTGCCTTATTGCTTTTATAAAAATTCCCTGCTGAAAAATTCTGTTTTACTCGTCATGCAGAAGGACGAAAGTGTGGGAGGCTTCCTGAACTTGTTAGGCAGGACTTTCCACCCGATGCGAGGCACACCAGAGAATGCTTAGGTGTGGGCAGCTGTTGATCTTACCATGTGTAGTCTTGTCAGCCTCCAGGTGGGTTCTGGAGGTCTCCCGGAATTAGAAGGGATCGCCAGACTACAGAGATCAGCTCCCGTGGAGGAAAGGGAAGCTTTGGAGGGTGAACTCTATCATATCCTGCTGAGGTTCTCAACCAAACCCCACCCTCCTCAGACTCCATCCCCAAATCTCCAGGAATTTCCCAACCCTACCCATTTGCAGAGTGGCGCCTTTGCTCCGATGAATGGAACTGCTGCAGTGGAGTGTATCAGGAGAAGCCGTCTGATACACAAATCAGCATACACGTGTCAGGTCCATAACGTTCAAAGGGGGCTTACTCTACCTGCCTGCCAAAGATTTTGTTAGTCTTGAAGGTGCTGCTTGGACTCTGGCTCTTTTCTACTGCTGCGGGCAAATTAACACGGCGAGCCATCTTGATCTGCCTGCCGGTAGTCACTGACCTGCAGCTTTCT